TTGCTAATGAGCTGGCCAGAAACTCTCACTTGAATTAGCGATCTGCACCCATAGAGCAAGACCCAACACCTTGGTCAAAGCTGGCAAAGGTCGTATAGCGGCGCGTAGCGGTGCTATACGATCTTTGGTCAAGGCTAAGCTCAACGATTGAGTAAATCCATTTTAAAATGTCTTAAATTCCTAGCTTTGATTGTTCAGTTGCCCTTCCGAGAGAAACTTGTGTTTAGTCAGTTTGATAAGCGTCCATGAGGTCATGACTTGAAATGGGGACAGTCGGAAATGGTGTGTGTTTAAAGTGAATGATGGGTGTATAGTAGGCTTAGGGCCCACTTGGAACATGGAGTAATATTTACTCCATGCTTTGAAGTACACCTTGTTGATTGTGTCAAGTATTTCAATTAGCGTGTCAAATTTCTCCGACTACAAAGAGTTGGATGGAAACTCTGACGTTAAAGTCAGACTGCAACAATGAGGCTTTAAATCCTAATTCTGGTAATTAAATGCTGAAAGCTTTCTTCTGGAGCAGTACACTATCAAGAATGTTATTGGATTTTTGTATTCGATGCGTCAATGGTTACAACTTTCATACATTTATATAATTTTCATACATTAATATTAATTAATAAATTTTTCCCATGGAGCAGTTTAAACAGTATCGCTCCATGACGGTCTACAATCCGCAGTGTTTTATTAAGGGCTTGTGATAACTAAACCCCAATTTTGCATCAATCTTTGCTAAGTGGTTTTACGGAATAGGCCACATATATACGCTCTGAGAATTCTTTATCACTCATAACGTCTTAACGCCTTTTATCGCAAAGTTAGTGTGATATTTGCTATACTCCTTACTCCTCGTTTTCGAACGCCACTCTAATACTATAGTATGGCCTTCGGCACTGCATAAATCGCCCGAGTTTGGATGGCAAATGGAGCGGATTGAAACCACGATGTACATAAAGGGATGGTCGCTAACCATCATAGGTCAAACCATGGAGCTCACTGCATTGGGGCTACTTGGTCCATACCCATTACGTATTAAAACGCATGCGGATGCTTCGTACCGTCCCGACAGTTATAATAAACACAAAACAAAGCTAGCTGCCGCGAACACATAGAGTTGGGAGATTGGCAGTGGCTGACAAAGTTTTTGTGATTGTTTACTAGGTCGGGTAGCTTGTTTAGGACTTGAACACCACACAATGGAGTGACTTCGGTTAGCTTTTTGGAGGGAATTTCGAAGTCGCTGTTTGACGTTTTAGGGAATCCCTTTCGGAACAGCCCATTTCCCGGCTGAACATTTTTAGAAGTCATACAAACTCGATCAATATCCTCCCAAATACCACAAGCTGCATTAGTGAAAACTATGCAACTGATTTATAAAATTAATCACATGGATTCAATTACTTGCACCATGCTTGCACAAGGTCGCATGAAGAAAATTATTTGATCAGTTTATTCTGAACACCCCTACAGACAACATGAGACTGTCCTTACCGAGGCCGACCGTAACGCCGGTGCACAACACACACCGATCATGTGCCTCACATGTGCCTTTTTATGAATGAACAGTGAGACAGTCTGTGGAAGGATATGCTGACGTAACAGAGATGAGCGCTCTGATTGGACCATGGAACAGGATTCCACGTACACGACGATCGCTGAATTAGTAGAAAATACTACCCGGCAATCTGAGAACCGGCAGTTGATAGCAAAAGAAGGGGCGAGATATCAACTCTGGAAGCTACGAGTCGCAGTCATTACTTGAAAATGGCAAGCTTGGACGGCCAAAGCATACGTTTGACAATACCAGTGCCAAAGAGCCCGATAACTGGGCCTCCACCCGTCTACGCCCGTGAAGCGGGCCCTAAGGAGGAGATCGTATGGGTTTCCAACGTCGAACCGGTAAGTCTCGTTTTTGTCCACGTTAAAAAAAAAAAATTTCGCATCGGTTGCAACATTGGGCTCATGACTAGTGATAGCATTCAACTTTCACCCATCGGTATAGGTTCCAGTGTCCGACCATATCCCACCCCATACCCCACTTCCATTGGAGACAAAGATAGACTTCCCCTTCCCGGCTGAAGCTCTCGTCGGGACGAAACTGGGAGGGCCTATGACCGGACTTGATGCTACACCAAACCAGATGATTGGGCTGATGGATGATCAGCTTGGGGCAACCAAGGCTAACGGTCATCAGGAGGAAGGGACAGAGGAAGTAGATGTGTGGGAACCGCCCAAAATTGAACATCAGGGGGTGAAGTGGTCAGGTAAATCATGTCAACAGAAAATCATCCCTGAATTACTAACTCAAAATTTCCTCCACAGAACAGCACGTTTTGATTCGTCACTGCGTTATGCGCGCTTCAAAGTCTTCTCTTAAATCTTATCTATTTCTAGATGAAAAGTAACATGCTTGACATATTGTTTGTTAGAAAAATTCAAATTGACCAATTTTGATCATTTATTATCGTTTGTGAAACTGCGTCAGTCTGTGTATCGCTTGTGCTTCTCGCGCATATTGATTGCATGTGGCACGTGGGCAGCGCTAGCTAGCTCTGTACATCACACCACTTGGCCACATGGTGTTCACATGTCCAACCGCAAAATGTTGTCTGGCATCCAGACTACTTGGTATGTGTCATCTGCATTCTTGCAAATGGTCGGGTTAATAGGTCGCGTGCGTCAGAGCTTCGTCAGAGGCGTGCAAGAAACCGGAAAAGCCGGTACTCATAAGAGAGAGAGAGAGAGACTGCTGTTTCGGTTTGTTCCAGCTACCTGGAACATATTTTTCAAAAATTTGGATGGGGTAAATTTCGATAGTCTTATACAAGCGTGAGCCTTGGTTCAAGAGGGTTGATGGATGTTCTCAGATGAGAACATGTATTCATTGTGTTGGTCAAAACTGCATGTGTAATTTATGCGCGCCCTTTGTTGATAGCCGACCCCCCCCATAAAAAATCGACCTTAAAATTGTCTTTTGGCCAGTGTGTTTTGCATTAAAGAAGTGAAATGAGCTGGCTTTATTTCAGAACATTTTGCGAATTTTCACGAAATACAAATTTGTGACGGTGATAGATTAGTATCGGTATCCATTCGTTTCAATTTTGACATGGTTAACCCTAACAGTCCTCAATCCTTCACCTGTTGGAGGACTGAGGACTGTTAGGGTTAATACATGTACAACCATTTGCTGAAAACAAATTTTTGCATCAGTAAGCTTGTTCGATCTTCAGATATTTTTATTTATTTGACAATTCAGCGTTGTCTACTTTTCTGTTGAGTGTATTTGCTCAGCAACTCAGACTTATGCATTTTGCTTTGTCTCTTTTAACTGTTAGATTTGACCACTAGGGGCAAAGTCCGGCGAGTCTTGGTCGAATGGCTACTGAAGCCCCTCTGTATCCTGGCCCTGCTGTACCTCTTCATTTGCTCCCTGGATCTGATGAGCTCTGCTTTCCGTCTCCTTGGGGGTAAGGAGGCCGGGCGAGTCCTGAGCGAGAACGAACTGCTGAACAACCCCATCTGCGGGCTGATGATTGGCATCCTTGCCACTGTGCTGGTCCAGAGCTCCAGCACATCCACCTCCATCGTTGTTTCCATCGTAGCCGCTGGAAGTAAGTAAAGTTCCGCTTTGAGATTTTGAACTAAACTTGACTGAATTTGCATTTCCAAGATGTAATCTTCGTCTAAATATGAACATAGTGTCTTTGAGTTTGGTTTTTATGACCAGGGACATATGCTTCCATTGTATATTTTCAGACATTTTCCTGGCTTTTTTTTCTTCAGTGTGTGAAGTTCAAGTGAAGCTCTCTTGCTAACTTAAACAAGTCAACAGGTCCCTCTTAAAATCACTTCACTTTTGATGTAAAAGCATGACGTTTATCTCATCCAATTTGCTATTTGAATAGTTTTAGCTTTTTTACATGAAGTCAGGAGAAGTGAATGCTGTTCTGGAGTTCTTCATGGTTCTCATGGTTTATGAAATTAACGGGGAAAAAATGAAAAAGCGGGCAAATTTTTCCTCAATTAAGAAATTTTCTCTTCATAACTTTAAATGCATACGCATGTAATAACAAATTGAAAATCACTTTATGAGATCCCCTGTGTATGTATGAAGACTTGTCATTTGAAATTGCTGTAAATTGTTCCGAGTTTTGTATTTCATACATGTACATGTACCTGAAGAATTTAATCACAGAGTTTTAGGTTTGGGCCGGAAAATTTTAAACAGTTGCCAAGTATCAACTAACTGCACATTTTTGGAAGCATATTCTTTATTTATGTACAATGCTGAATACTTTTGTCTTGCCAGTTACATGGGATTATGGGCAAAATTTGTAGTTTTTGTTATTGTCAGTAATAGGGAAAGACACCTGTAACCCTGATCCTTAATTCATTTGACTTTAAATTTGTTTTTTATGGTATGATTGTTTCTGCAGTTCTTGAAGTCCAGCCTGCCATTTTCATCATTATGGGCGCCAATATCGGCACCTCAGTCACCAACACCATCGTCTCTTTGACCCAGTCTGGCAACCGCAACGAGTTCCGCCGGGCATTTGCTGGTGCCACCATCCACGACATGTTCAACTGGCTGTCTGTCATAGTTCTCCTGCCCATCGAGGTCACCAGTCACTACCTGTACCACGTGACAAATGCCATCGTGGAGGCCTTTAATATCCAGGGGACAGGCGGGGCCAAGGTGGAGCTGCTGAAGGTGTTGACCAAGCCCTTTTCAAAGCTCGTCATCAGTGTGAGTAGAGACTCATTTTTAACTTCAGCTTAACAGGTACAACTTGACACTGCACAAGTCGACGACGCTTAGTATAATGCATTGACAGAGCGTGCCATTGTAAGCCTTAAGGTCTACCACTCGACCACTCGCATATCAATTATATCAATGTTATTTCCCCGTTGTCATTTCTACAGATTGACAGCAAAGTTGTCAGCAAGATTGCAACAGGAGAATTGAATGCCACTGATGCTAAGCTATTAAAAAAAGGTGAGCTTTACTTTGAGCACACATCAGTAAATTTTGAGCAGAAATGTCACACTCTTTTTTGTGAGGCGTTTCATCTTTTTTAACTGAAATTTTTTAACTCCAGACATTTTTATAAGCCTAGGACAAAAAAGTTTGGTCTCAACTTTGCACCTTTCCAAAACAAAACAAATAACTCTCAAAGCAAATAACTGTAATTACAGTCGAACACAGGTAAGAGCATTCTCAATACAAGGCCACATTTGATAACAAGGACGATTTTAGTTCCCAAGTCCTTGTTTCTCTTTATTTTCCATGACTGATAATACAAGGTAACTATTACATGGTAATCTAGTCCCATGGACCTTGCTATAACAGTGCTTCACTATGTTCTGGTCATCTTGCATCTCTTGCTCAAGTTTTGTCTCTCAATCTTTTCTTTGCAGGCAACTATTTGTTCCGATACATTGCCGATGCTGGCCTGTCAGAGAGGGCAGTGGGGGGAATTCTACTCGTTGTCTCCTTGACCATGCTCTGCATCTGCCTGGTCCTGATGGTCAAGCTCCTCCACTCCTGCTTGAAGGGCCGCATCGCTAACATCATCCAGAAGACCATCAACTCAAACCTGCCAGGCCCCTTCTTCTACCTGACCGGCCTGCTGGCCATCGTGGTCGGGGCGGGTGTCACGTTCATCGTGCAGAGCAGCTCTGTGTTCACCTCTGCCATGACCCCGCTGGTGGGCCTGGGAGTCATCCGGCTGGAACGCATGTACCCGCTGACACTGGGCTCCAACATAGGCACCACTGCCACTGGTATCCTAGCCGCACTGGCTAGCGCAGACGGCAAGCTGGACAGCAGCCTCCAGATTGCCCTTTGCCACCTTTTCTTCAACATCAGCGGCATCCTCCTCTGGTACCCTCTCCCCTTCATGCGCAAGGTGCCCATCTTCCTGGCCAAGACTCTGGGCAACACCACGGCCAAGTACCGCTGGTTCGCCATCTTCTACCTGGTCGTCATGTTCTTCCTGCTGCCCCTGCTGGTCTTTGGCTTGTCCCTCGTCAGCATCTGGCTCCTGGCAGGCGTCGGCATCCCTTTCCTCCTCATCGTGGCCTTCATCATCATCATCAACGTCCTCCAGCGCAAGAAGAAATCCATCCTGCCAAAGAAGTTGCAAACCTGGGACAGTCTGCCTGACTGGATGCACTCGCTAAAACCCATTGACAAAATGATCACCAAGATCTTGGAAATCGTGCGCAAGTGCTGTCCTTGCAAAAAGAAGGCCAGTGTCTCACTTAACTCAAGTTCAAGCAGCGGCAGACCTTTGATGGTGGCATACAACGAGCCACACAACACAACCAAAACTGAGACTGTACAAGCCCTGAGTATCAAGTCCACCCTAGTATAACGAACACCCTCCCCTGACCTGTACATATTTGTAATAATTCAATTTTGTATAATGCCATCACAGAATGTGTGCATTCTGTACCTTGACATTTTTTTCCTGTGGAAAAATTCTGTGCCAACGGGTGTGACAATTACATTTCCCGCAAACCCAAGTTGTCCGTCGGACAGTTTATTGTAGCTTTGAGAATGGATTCTCTCAGCTTTAGAAACTGGTGCTTTAATAACACATTGTGAAGCGTTAATTGCAGCAAAAGCAGAATGTCTAAATAATTCTATGGTTTTGCAGTGAAACACCCAGAAAATGTTTGTAAATATGTTTCCTATTTAAGTTGAGTTCATTACTGTTAATTTAGGTGCTTGTGAAACATTTGGTGTTTTTTGTTTGCCACGTTGACATTGTTAACGTTTGTTACTGTTTTATTTCACACATATTTATGAAGTATTTGCTTTTCCCCCTAAAGTTGACATTATTTATTCCTTGAATTGCACACACCGTCATACTGAAATCAGCCATGATTAACAAAAACCAAATCGATAATTTTATTTATTTTGTTGGCATTATAAGTTCACTAGCAGGTACATGTACATTGTATTTATCAATAATCCTGAAATAAACCGTTGGGAGTTGTACATGTACACTGAATTATTATTGTGAACAGCACTTCACAGTGGTACGAGCCAAATTAATGTCACGATTTAGCCTATCACATACACTTTTCTTTCTAGCAGTAAACTAAACAAGGGAGAAAAGCTTAACTGTGTTGGTTGGAGGTTCCAGTTCAAAACATGGAATTTTTAGCCGTTTGAACAGTAAATAAAAAGATTTAAAAAGATACAATCCAGTCAGTTTTTTGTATTCAGTGGTATAGTGGTCCTTCGGACTTGGAGAATTACATGTGTCTAGGAAACTTGTACATGTATTATCAGGAATGGAAAAGATGGGATTGGGACCAAAAATATCCTCGTAAAAACTAGAATCTTGTACTTGTTTAAAGGTGCTTCTTGGAAGTTGGACTATTTACATGTACATAGTTGTATCATGAATCACTTCATCAAAGTTTCAAATTATTTGTGACGCATTAAAGAGTAAAAGACGGAATCATAAAACCGAACTAGGTTTGTATGAACCATTTACGATTATGGATTCCGTGTGCTAAATATGCGGTCCATAGTTCGTACTAAAAGCTTCCATTTTTAATCTTGCCAAAAAAATAAGGACGAGTCTTGGACGAAAGCGGTTAACTACATGTACTTGGTGATCAGTGAACGTGGTAATGGGCAAAAAATAATTGGTACGTATATTGGTAGCTTTAACAGACATTGTTATTCAAATGTGTTTTGGAGGCATCAAGAGAAGATTGTCATATATTATGAGAAAGGTCGAGTCCGTTTTTATTTTAAGTGTGATTACCTTCTATGGGCATTTTTTTTTACTTGCGTGTACATGTACCACATACATGTACATTGTATATGTATAACGGAAAGCTAAGTGTAGAAGTGCAAGCAGTTGCATGGGTCCCTTTCACTAACGATCACGAAACCAAAAGTTGAAGTGCTGAAAGCGGATCCTTCGCTTCTTAACTGTGCGACTAGACGTGACTCAAGCCGGGATCTCTGTGAATTCGATTATGCTTTGGTTACATATAGAGACCGTACCGCGCGCCGTTACTTGCTTCGCGCCCTCTTGTGTCCACTTATTACTATGAGTTCGGTTCAGAAATCCCGATGACTTGACGAATGTGCCAACCGCGTCAGTACATAGCGAGTGGGGTCATCTACCAAAAGTGGTAGCAGCCAATCACAGTGCCGGACTAGTTTTTACGTCGTTCATACCGGCGTTACAATGAACGAGTTTACAAGTCTGACTGCTTTGATTGGTGGAAATTTCGTATGCATCATGCAAGTTCATGTCGTTCATATGCAAAAACCTACATATCATCGACGGGGTCCGAGTGGCTTATCCGTCAAGTCGGACTTACTAACTGGTGACGTTGACACACGTTGTACAATAAAGGCTATCAAATAGGGGCGCCTTATAAGGGTTACACGAGCGCAACGACCGCACGGACGTATATAAAAAAAATCTGGACTCGCAATGCCTCGCAATCAGCTTATAGAAATCATTGCATCCACTAGCGGCCACTTTACTGAGCCGAACACAAAGCTTGCCCGGCAATGCCCACCTTTGTTCTCCCTGGCGTCCATAGAGGCGAACCAACCCGCGCATTTGTATTCGGCTCGGTAAAATGGCCGCCGGTTGACTTCTATTCCATACAAAGGCGTTGCAAGTCCAGGTTTTTTTATATACGTCCGTGGATCTATGAACGACCTACGCGAGTCGTGCGTACAGGCTGAAAAATGGCTGATTCGGGAAAGAGCAACGTAAGTCCAACTTGATGCAAGTGTACTGTGCGACATGCTTGTGTAAAGGGGTCAATTTCGCGCATCTGGTTCCGTCATTCAGTGCGCAGGTTGGTCAGTGTAACAAGTGCCCCAGACAATTCGCCGGTCAAGGTCTTCCCTGTGCACAGGTCATCTTTATTGCCCGCATTCTAAGTAACCTGACTGAAGATATGAGTAAGTGCTTCAGTGGCCCCCACGGTCATGACCTCATTTGATACTTACTTAACTGACCACACTCCTTCCTGAGCTCCTAGAAACGTTGCGATTATGTTGGGTCATCCGAAAACTGATAAACCCCTTTTGGAGAGGTGTGTGACAATTTCATTGTGTTCTTATTCCGTTCTCACTCAGATATTATCTTACAGGCTGGATCTTAGACTATATCTCAAACTTTATCCACGGGAAGGAAGACGTAGCCATGTAATCTCGTCCAACCTCACGTTCCAAGGTGTTACTTTATTATTTACATGTACATGTATTTTTTTTATTTTTTTTTTTGGAAACTGGAACTATACGTGTACATAAGTACGCTGGCGGAGTAAAAAAAGTCTCCCCAACTCGGCAGGTATGTCTGTCTGTTATCTGTAGTGTTCCACCAGTTTAACTGGTCCTGGCCGCGCCGCCCCCGATGTTTCGTAACTAGTTAAATGAGAGAGGGCGCCCTTAAGTGTTACTATCAGACATTCTTTCCCCCTTCATTCATTCCGGATCCTCCCCCCTTTTTCAGGGGAGGTACGTTGTCTTTTCCTGGTTTGTGTGCTGATCTGAACTGGTTAGTTACGGATTTTCTCAACTGCTTTAACACAGCAACTACCACTAAATTGACAATATAATCAGAATTGAAATTGCACCATTCACAACTTTGCGTGCTTGGCGTAGAACTTCAATTATTCGGTTGTATTCGCACAATTTTCAGTATACCAGCAGATTGTTGCATCTCATTAAACGTTAGCAATGGAATTTTCACATGGATTTCAACTGAATGCATTCTTCTGTCAACTGAGGCATATTGCGTTCGAATTGAAAAAACATCGGTCTACTGAAATCATTGGCATAACACGCGCCCAAATGCAAAGGACTTATTGAAATCGATCATTCATCACAAGTAACATTGGCTGCATGAGGGACCCCAAGTGAGCGGCTCAAGGAATGCCGTGTAAAATGGAACAAGAACGGCATGACCAAGCTGAAACCGCAGAAGTCCGAGGGAGAGGTCATCAACGAAGAGCAAGAGAAAGACGACGGGCATCCATTTGTCCAACGACATTTATGAGTGACTCTCGTTAATCACGTGATATCAATCTTGGGCTAACGCTGAGGGTAGCAGGTGAACGGGCGGAACCCAATGTCCCCGGGTCTACTGTAGCGTAAGTTACATTTATATGGGTATTTCAAAATAAGAATCAGTAAGCGGAAGGAGAGACACTATATACATGTATTACTGTATACATGCAATACATGTACATGTACATTGCGTTGTCCTGAAATTCGATCACCAAATCGCAAATTACTCACATAAGGCTGAAACCTTGTTTTTTGCACTCTGTTTTCACATTTTGTGTTTTATTTGTTTGTTTACACGTATTTACAGATGACTACATTCTAGCGGCAGAAGACGCCCGGGCTCTTCAGCGAACAGCAGAGGATGCAATGGTACATGGTGAACATGGCTCTGGAAAACAACAACATCCGTCCAAAAGAAATCCAGACAAGTCTTAGTTTAGGACAACGACGTGTTTGCAATCTCAAGCGTTAGTTTGAGTACCATCGATTGAATCCTTAAGAGAAGGCGAATCCAACTGAAACAAGATTAGTCACCCGTCATGCCTTTTGAGCGAAATAGCAGCAGAGTGTGGGGGCAGCGCTACCAAAACAATGTACGCTTAAATAAGTCAACTATCGAAACATAGATAAGTTTGTCAAACCTGAGCAATCCCCTCCAAGCCGTTACATGCCATTTGACGTTTTGGTAATTTTTTTTTCGTTTTAGAGAATAATGGCTCTGGATACACGAGCGGAAAGAGTCGAATCCACCTCCGTGGATGAAGCTGGTTTCAACGTAACCAAGAGAGGAAATGTCATCGGAAGCGAGCCCCCGTCAACCCGGTCAGCGTTAACTTCCGGTTCCATGGTTCCACGTTTACTAACGGCGATCAATGTGTGTAACTCTATAGTGCAGTGCATGTGCAGTGGGCGTGGTTTAAGCTGGAGTAACGTCACACTTACGAACCAGATTCCGGCATGGTCTTTGCGTTCGCAGAACTCATGCAAGAACCCACTTGTAACCGCCTGTCTTTCTTTCTTTTTACACTTCGCATCCACTTGAAATGAATTTAATTTACAAACGGGAATGAGGGACATGTACCTTTCCCTGCTTTGGTGAAGAAAACAGAAAGGAGCTTTACGTTGTTTAGAGCTACATCCATAAAGTTTATGCCCCTGAAATTGCCCCTGACAGACATACGCTAATAACCACTAATGCATGTAAAAGTTCTTGCAGTAAATAAAGAACAACTTAGGCACTGCATATGCAGCTCTTTATTCAAGAAACAAAATCTGTCTTTGGCACAGAGTTACACCTATAATTCACTTAACATTGTGGGAATATATTCTACACTTTAGGACAAATTAAGGCACAGCCACGGACGCATATAAAAAAACCTGGACTTGCAACGCCTTTGTATGAAAAAGAAGCCAACCAGTGGCCATTTTACCGAGCTGAATACAAATGCGTGGGTTGGCTCCCTTCTGTTGACGTCAGTAAGAACAAAGGCAGGCATTGCCAGGAAAGCTTTGTAGTCGGCTCAGTGAAAATGGCGGCAAGTGGATTCAATGATCTCTATAAGCTGATTAAGGGCATTGCGAGTCCAGATTTTATTATACACGTCCGTGGGCACAGCATGCATAAACATGTACGATTATAATGATCACTTTAATATGAAAGATAAAGCACTCTCAAACTTCACGACTGCATGGCGTTAGTTAAGAGTACAGTATTCGCCCTGACCAGAAGCACCCCCTCATCGGTTGAAAAGAGCCATGTTGGTCGGGAGTGTTCCTTTTGTTAGTATAGTGAAGCGACTTCAACTCCACGCTTCATTGTCGTTCGTAGACCAGCGATGCCCTGTGATTACCATACAAGTACCAAAGGAGCCTCCGTTGCTAGGAAAATTGCGCTCTCTTTTCATCTATCTTGGGACCCATTGGTCGAGTTTGAGCGGCTTCTCCTTGACACGTGTTTCTTGTTCTTGCCTTGGAACAGCGGGAACATGACCCAAGGTCACACACCACCTTCTCGTCAAGGTTTACACAGGAACACACGGTAAAACTCGTGAGATTTGATTTTTGATCAGCCGCATAAAATAGCGAGATGGGAAGTTTTGCAAAAATTGACGTTTTAATCATTCCCCATAACGCAGAAATAAATGTTCCTTTTTAAATAGAACAGAATTCAGCCCAGTTCTAAGTATTAACCCTCGAAGAACGTACATAGACGGTGCCATGTTGTATGCCACTAACTTCAGCGATAGCCGGTTGAGCGTTAGTAGCGTTCGAGCGGCAGACCCATGACCAACAAATCCAGCTGTTTGTGAACCTACAGTTCGAGAACAAGCCGCCAAAACTCATCCCTTGAGGCTGAACCTGCGACACATGTGCATGTAACAGGAGTCACTGATCAAATCAGGTCTCAGCGCATGTTTTAACCTTGTGAGCCCATCTCAACGGCCATTGACAAGTTCGATCAGCAATCATTGTCAACCAAGGTTTAGATTTGCATTAGGAACTCCTATATATAGGCCTATAGGCACAAAACACATAGGCACAAGGCAAACTCGGCCAGTGGATGAATGGGTGCTGAATCGAGCTTGAGACATCTTGCCTTTATTGTGTTTTGTAGGCATAACTGTCACTACATCTAAAACATAACTGCCCAAAACACTGTAGCCCCAAGTAGCCTAGCTGAGGTCTGAACCCCCTATACTATGCAAAACATGAGACACTAGACCATTCTAAGCCTACGTGTACTGAATGGCTTGAATCTTATGTGCCATTGCATAGAGTATTTTTCTTGTGTTCTGTAATTCTGACAATGAGGTTTAACCAGTACTATACACGAAATACACAAAGACACATGAGGTATTATGCAGTCAAATCAAATGTAACACCGGGGTGATTCCGATAAGTATACTTCTTACATTATGTGAAAGTATAATCTATATACATGCAGTTACTCGGGTAGAAAAGGTATGCAATGACTAACTCACACTGACTATTCGGTCTGAATAGAAATGTTGTCTGAGGTCATTTTTTTACTTGTGCAATGAGCCTCCTGTCATCTAGTATCCGTAAGGTGAGGCCGGTATCTCCTTTATGATGATACGTGAGGCGCTGTTCCATCCCGTATAAGCGTCAGCGTTCCCGTACCCGTTGCAGTCGCCCACCGCAAAACGAACGTCAATCTGCCCTGCACCCAGCGTGTGACAGTAACCTGAAAAACAATGTCAATTCGTTATTTCAACAGGCCTCCGCCACACCCCATTCTGTAAAATACACTTGTTAACCTATTCCTGGGCTGAGGCGGCTAGAAATTACACACGAGTCTATGGTAGTAGACGTAGCCGGTTCCCATTGAGTCGTGTGCAATTTCAAGCCGCAACCAAATGATTCGGACGCAGCTTAAGTAATCCAGTTAATACTCCAAAGTTATAACAAGAAGAAACTTGCCTTCGATGTTACGGTGCCTATGCAGGTTCATGTGGTAGGTGTTGTGTTGGTATACAACGCCATCTATTGGTACCGGTGAGCACTCGTTGTTATTGAACGTAAAGTACCATCTCTTACAGCATGCGTCACAGCCATACAATCGAAGATTACCACCATACGCGACGTAGAGAGCGCTGTTGGAATAGCGCTTTTGAATGGTACACGTCTATCAAGCCAAGTGAAAAAATGAAAAGAAAATAAACAAGGAACTTTATTATATAATATTCCCACGCTTAATGCGCACCTTAGCTTTACACATGACACTGGGTCATAATTCCACGTCTTAAAGTGGAGACAACTTACGTAAATGTTGCCATCATAATCGTTGCCGTTGGCAGAGCGCCAGGCACATTGTCTCCAGTTGTTGTAGTCCAAGAATTCCGGGGCTCCAGAATCACCGCTCGATCCTGGTGGGCCAGGAGGGCCGGGTGGGCCCGGGGAACCCTGGTCGCAGGTCTGTGGAACGTGAAGGGAGTAACTATCAAATGTAGGACCAAAAAAATGTGGGGGGGGGGCCTGATGATTGACGGGTATTCGTAAAAACAAGCAGTAGGCCTATGCGGTCAATCTCATAAGTGAACAAAAATACGAGCAGTACATAAGTGCAACAAAGGAAATTTCAAAAATTTGTGATGAAAAGAACCATAATATTTTTTAATGCTACTGCAAAGAGATGTTTAGAGCGTTTTCGAAACGAGTGGATTCGGCTTAGACTGCGATTTTGCTGGTTCCAGTTTCGAACACCGCTTTATAATGGCTGAGACAAGTGAAACCAATGTCTAATCCGAATCCCCTCGTTTCTAAATCGCTCTATGGGCTCCGAGCAGGGCCAAGAGAGGGCGCAATTTTCCTACCAACAGAGGCTGTTACGGTGGGAACTGTTCTTCCCTGGTTCACGAACGACTATGAAGTGCATGCGTTGTGGTCGCATAACTTCCAACAACATGAGCCCTTTCCGCCAGCACGGCTCTTTTCAACCAATAACTGGATGCTTCTGCTCAATGTGGATAAGAGGATAGGCGGCTTATTCTTTCCCGTACATTTATTCTGATACCACTGCAATGCATTTTTTGAGTTTGTGCTGGTGTGTTTAGAAGAGATGCACGATACGTTTGGATCATCAGTGTTGTGGGTGTGGGACGGATCTCGTGAAAATATTTCTACAAAATCCAAAATTTGCATACATAAAATTATGTATTTTACTGGCAGCGGGTTATGGGGGTTTCGATTCGAAGGCAACAAGAAGATTTTTTTTCTCTGAAAAATGGTTGTTCATTTTTCCTCATTCATAAAAGAATGCTTAAGAAAGATGGTTGTGAAGTGGTTTTAAAGTGTTGACGCTTGGAATTTCCTTCAAGACTTGGCAACATAGGCCTAGCTTGGTGGATGTGAGCTCACGAGGTCTGAGCATGAGATGCAGGAAACCTCAGACACGTAAGCAAGCCACATAGACCTGTGTAACAAATAAAAGTGAGCAATGTGCATCTAGGCCTATGTCATTTTTTCCCCTGTGAATTATTTATACAGGGGAAAAAACGACAACTATATATCAACATGAAACTTACCGCGCCCCATGTATCAACGCTGGGAAGACCGAGGAGAGCAACGGTACAGAACAACAGAGGAGCCAGGAAGACAGGTGCAGACATTTCCCTTACACTAAGCCGGTAAACCGAAGTATTAAGTAAGTACTCACGAAATGATCCGGAAATGTTTTGCGCCGATATGAAAATCGACTTATTTGTAACCTGTTGTGACTGAGCACCACTCCGTGTTATCGAGGGGTGCATAAACGCATCTCCGGGTACATCTTCATCGATTTTTCAACGCGGCGGTATATGGTAACATTCTTTCTACTGTAATCGATAGACCTCTAAAAAGGGGGCATGAAGATGACAATTTGAATATCGATCATTGGCGATTACGATTAGGGCTGTATTTGGCCATGGCTGAAATGGCACCCAACCGTTGTCGCAGTTACACAATTTTATGTCGTTTTAAGTTTCATTGATTTGTTTGATTTATTTTACGCTTCAGTCTGACAGTCTTTGATGGTATACACATGTAGTAAAGAAGTGTGAAAGGAACGTACAGTCGAATCTCGTTAATGAGAAGTCCTTCGGACTTGGGAAATTACCATATTATAACAGGAACCTTGTATTTTTAGGAATTAAAAGAATGAAAAACAAAGGATTGGGACCCCACAATTTCCTTGTCATAAGCAGAATCTTGTATTAGTGATTTCTTATTAACGAAGTTCGACTTCTTTACCTTAAGACTTTTACTGACCTAGTGATTCAGTTTATTCGTGCATTATACAAATCATATGAGGTCGCAATTTATTTTTGGATGCTTGCATCCAGCATGAATATAAATCGAACCTAACAAACATTAGGTAACTCAAACCTGGGAGAAGAGATTACTTATCCGAGGCAAAAGAACGAAATTAACAGTATCAACGCCATATTGCGTTTCTAAAGGTCGCTTTTCCGAACAAAACATTAATGTCTCTGCATGGGGCCAAAAGCAAGCATGAGAATTATGGGTATTTGTCAATGAATATTTGTAGCTGGATATGAGAAATCTGCTACTTAGGGCTGTTGGGGTTTTTAGTATCCTTAAAATGTTATAGCGACTTTGTAAGTACTTGTATTTCAAACATGCATTATTTGGTATCCTAAACTTAAGATGCCGACATCAACAAACTTTTTAAGGAATGATAACATCTTAATTGCAGAATGTCGACATCTTGATTTAGAAGAAATCATAATGACAAATGTCAGCATCATGATGTGAGATGGCCAAGCAACAACACCGCCCCCAACGTCTTGTCCATCATTCATCACATCGCCCGCACCGAACTTGTACTTTAAGGAAGTCCATATCTTCCTTTCAGGGTGGCATCACGCATTGCTAAATTTTACTTTCAAGGTGTGGTCAAGTCGTTATAATTTGGATGTCATAAGTGTTTGTTGATATGGTATTTCTAAATATGTCAGCATGTTAACTGCTTGATGGTTCATGTAATTTAAAAACTCTGTGTATTTGCAGCGATGAGAGATCCGTCAAAAGTGGTGTGTTTATTCCCAGCATTCCCCACGCCCAATGATGACGTAAGACAAGGCGAGTTTTATGTAGATGAGGCTTTAGGTTGAAAAATTCTCGCCTGCCTTAATTAAAGTACTTTGTATGCATTCTGAAAAAGACGAGGCCGATGTGAAATCTATCCATGTCCCGCCTGTTTTGCAATCGCTTTCGATCCAATAAGGTGATTCGTGTAAAGTGCGAACAAGGCTGAAGATTGATTGAATTATCACCCATTAAAGGTCGACCTAAGTACTGCATCTCCACACGAAGCAGCTCTGCTGAGAAAATGTCCAAGGAAACCCACAACCGTCCCGTCCGGGTAATAGCTTAGATCGCCACACACTGACGACACACGGAGCATCGTTCATCAAACTGTGAGGTGAGCTTAGGTTCCGTCAGTCTAGTAACCGTAAGGTGAGGCCGGTATCTCCTTCACGATGATACGTGAGGCGCTGTTCCATCCCGTGTACGCGTCAGCGTTCCCATGACCGTGGCAATCACCTACCGCAAAACGAACGTCAATCTGCCCTGCACCCAGCGTGTGACAGTAACCTATTAACGAGCAACAAATTTTTTAAAAATGATAAATCGTTCAGTAATTATTTGCAGGCCTAGGAATGTTCACGAACATTGGTTCAACACGCACGCAGAAATATAAAATTGTTTTATCAAGGGAAAGATAAGTGTGATAGGAGTCAGGTGTTCGCGACATTCATTACGGTAAGTAAATTCTTTGATAAAAATTTTATTTCGAAAGTACCTGTGCGCGCTTCAATCAAAACTTGACAAGTAAACCCACACCGTCACGTTCAGGGTACACCCAGGCCCAGATTCCTAATAGTATATGTCTTTGCAATGCATATGAGACGAATCTACTCCATATAGAGAAATTAAGGTGATGATGGGTCCTACAATGCTCTCCAAGAATCGACCAATCCATACAACAGGGGGGAGTGCCTGCCATTGAATATACGGACACCTGTTCGTTTGTCATAAACCTGTTCGCTCACCTTTCGTATTAAAGGAAAAGAGGAAACAGAATTTCTCATCGTGTCTGATTGTCAAGCTTAAGGTGATGATAATAAGGCTGATGGGGTTTGTCGCCGCTTTCCTTGGCATGTTACAGCTGAGGGTATATTCAGTTCCCTTTGAATGTCAGATCCCCTGAGGTTACTCCCCTGCTAATCCCCCCCCCCAGGTGTATTTCTTTGACTGGAGGGAAGCTAGTATAGGGGAGAAGGGGTTTGCTCATAACAACATAAACTCCCCTTGCTCTCTGACCGTGGGTCCCACATCCTACCCACAGAACCACACTTTCCACAGTCCATGTGATTCAACGAATAATAACTGATTTAAACCCAGAGTTGTAATGACTCGAGTCAATGACTCGTCGGACTCGAGTCACAATTTTTAGCAACTCGACTCGAGTCCAGACGGGTAAATGACCCGACCTGACTCGAGTGACTGCGAGAAAATGACTTCACTTGACTTGAGTCCCTCATCAGACGACTCGACTCAAGTGAAATTTTATAAGACTCAGTAAGTCCCAAAACTAAAAGCTACTTTGTGAATCAATAATGCAATGGCTTACAGCGCCGGTTTACCATGTTTATGTCATGTGTTATTATCATCCAAGGTAAATGTGGTGTGACCACAGGTAGAGAAACCCACAGGCAAATTCAAAATTTAACTTGCGTCTTTTGTTTTGTTTATCGTATTGTGTTCAAATTTTGATGACTCGAATTGACTCGAGCTCAACACTGGACTCGACTCGAATTTTTTGCCTAATGGCTCGACTCAAGTCATTACGTTACAATGACCCGACACGACTCGAGTCACAAAAATTAGTTAGTCATTACAACTCTGCTTAAACCTTATTTGGCAAAGAGAAATGCTCATATTGTACAGAAGGGAAGCACAAACGGCCGTGTTTACCTTCGATGTTACGGTGCCTATGCAGGTTCATGTGGTAGGTGTTGTGTTGGTATACAACGCCATCTATTGGTACCGGTGAGCACTCGTTGTTGTTGAACGTAAAGTACCATCTCTTACAGCATCCGTCGCAGCCATACAATCGAAGATTACCACCATAAGCGACGTAGAGAGCGCTGTTGGAATAGCGCTTCTGAATGGTGCATGTCTATCAGAAAAATTTAAACATTTGGGGAAAACAATTCAAGGTTATGAACATTCCTTTGATCTCTGTACTGTGAGTTTTGATTGAGTCACGTTTGGCGGGATCGGCCCGTGAGTTCATCTTCAGGTGTTCACCTTTCCATTCTTCTTCGTGGTTGTGAAAGATCGTTTCAAAACAGGAATTCAGAGTTGGAGATTTCAGACAGGATCAACTTACTGTGCAATATTATTGGAGATTTCAGACAGGATCAACTTATTGTGCAATATTATGGCACTTTCGTGCTGATAACTGACCGATTAGGCCCATGCACACGTCGACCCCGGACCAGTCGTGTGTGTCCGTGTGCAAAAAGTGTGTAACAACTTAGCTGGTCGGGGAAATAGTCAAAGTGAACACGGACGAGTCCGTGTGGGAACATGTGCAAACTCTGCCGGCTGTCTGCGTCGAGTAGGGCAGTAAACATTCGGTCCTTTTCTGTTGTTCACAACATTTTGAACACAGGTACATAAGCTTAAACGGTGCGCAAACGAGAGAAAAGGGCCCGTGAGTGTGCCGTCACACAAACTTCGGAAATCTCTTCCATTGTCACCGAAATTGCTGCCCGTAAAAATGAAACGTATCGAACAGTATGGAGCACCAGTTTGGATTCACAGGGCGGTCTGGACGCCGCAGTGGTATTTACGCCAAAAACATTAAAGTAAACGTTTTCTACCTCAGTCTACAGCCCAGTAAGCGCTTAATTCTTTCCGAAAACGTGGAAGTTAACAAGTCGCGACAGAACGCTTTTCTGTAACAAATGTGGTGATAACCATTTTTTGAGGCCCACAAATGGACTTGAGGAGGCCTCGTTTATTTGAGGACGATGCCGTATTTCTGCTAAGTTTGTGTATGATCACCGACATGTAGGGACAATTGTTTCACTTCCTTGGAAAACTCCTCAGAGGGACAGAAGCGTTAAGGGCCGTACTTACGTAAATGTTGCCATCATAATCGTTGCCGTTGGCAGAGTGCCAGGCACATTGTCTCCAGTTGTTGTAGTCCAAGAATTCCGGGGCTCCGGACTCACCGCTCGATCCTGGCGGGCCAGGAGGGCCGGGTGGGCCCGGGGAACCCTGGTCGCAGGTCTGTTGGGAAAGACAGTGTAAAGAAGCTTTCATGTGCATAAACTGGAAGAGGGCGAAGAGGGAAAGAATATCCTCGATCAGTCTTTGTTTATAGCTGCACCTAATCAAATCAGCATCTCTTTTAACAATTCGGGGGTGAAATACTTTAATAGGCTTTCAACTTCTCCTTTCCCATAACTACGTGTACATGTAGTTTGTTTTTGAACCAGTGTCCCATTGCATTGTGCTAATGAATTGTTCACAGTCTCCTCAATGAAAGCAACATCTTCATCAATCCTTTTTAACTCGGTGATGTTTACACTGTCGATATTAACATCGCACAGTCGGGGGTTTGTTTTTTGGGGGTGTATAATTGCACGTGGAGGTCTCACTTCACATGTGTGGTTAAGGACAAACAGAGATGAAATGGTTTTACCAACGACGATAACTATACATAACACCCCTTATTCCAAAATCCCCGCCCAAGCAAATTCGCAAAATTCGTAGATCGGTCCCTGATACACCGAGTCACAACAGAGCCTCTTACCGATCCCCAAGAGTTTGCGGAGGGCAAGTCCAAAGCAACAGCCAAGAAAAGCAGTAGTCCGAGGAGGGCTGCCGACCCTGCCGTGGCCATTGGTAGGGAGATATGCTCCTAGAGGGAGTGACAGCCCAGTGTCGATATTCAGTCGTCTTGAAAAAAAAGTACGCTGCAAAGCAGGCGACTTGGGCGTCTGGCCTGACCCTTCGATATGTCTGCAAGGCTCGAAGACTTATACCAAGACTCCGATTTTGTTGACTCAGTAGTCAAGCAAGCTTTTTGTACGCTCATCGGGAGACAAAACGTGTTGTTCCGAGAGCAAGAAAACGCACAATGAAAAATGTCTTGGTCGATATCATGGAAGAGTTCAACCGTGGAAAAAAGTCTGCTGATCGCATCGTATTATCGATTATATTTTGGAATAAGTGTTATGTCGGACCAAGGACTCTTCTGTGTCAGTTTGTTTTCTGGGCAGACTAAAGTAAACCCAATATGGCTTGACAGTCTTGACAGTAAGGTTATAGAAGTTTTTCACGTGACGTAACATGACGGACAAAGGCATTTCAGGAATGCCCATGCCCATGGAGGCGCGTGCATTTTCGAATCTGTATATTTTTATTGGAAATTTCACGTGCGCCAGAATGACTTCGATGGCGCATGCGTTTCTGTGCACATATGTGTAAATTGAACGCTGACCATCAAAAATCATGTGACTGAAAATCCTCTATAAGAACTTCATAATTTTATATTGCAAACTGGAAGATTAACTGGGGTAAAACTGCTGGTGGTCATAGGCGGTGCACACTTGTTTTTTCAAGGAGCTACCAAAATTAAATGACCTGGAGCCTGTGTGTGTTGTGATGGTTCATTTCAAGATCTAGAACTGGGAACCGGGACATGAACATCTGCTAGAGGGCAAGTCCCCCCTCCACAGTGCAAAGAAAAGCTGAAATCCCCTCCATTCATCGAGAGCTACCGAGCATCAAACCCCATACTGCAGGCTATTTACCCATTCAGATCAGCTGTCTTGCTCGTGAAAAATGCTGCATTTTAAATAATTAAACCGTTTTCACTCTTCCTCCGTTGCTATTACGCACACACGTTCTCACTGAGCACCTCAGCGTCGGATGTCTTGCCAGATTTTATTCACACCTTAGCACAACGCTGTGACGTCACGATCTTTGGCGTCAGTTTCAACCAATAAAAAGAATTACATCTGCACATCTACTGATTAATAAACGAGCAAGTAGTTAAAAGTAACGAAAATCTCTTCATATTTACACATAAATAAATTTTATATCGATATCGCAAAATTCACAAAAAGGAACAACAGGTTGGACATGGTTCATGCTCATAAGTGTGAACTTTGTTAAGGCTGTATGGCTCAATCGTACGTATTGAAATCACACTGCCCAACGAACTAACTGAGAGTGCAACAAACCACACGTCTCTGAGTATGTACATGTAATAACAAACAGTTGCAGCGGTGCCAACATCTTCAGTTAAGCGCACAAAATCAGATAAGGAGATGTTATACCTTGCCTCAGAAACGTTCGTTTATAGAGTCTATAGAGTCTAGCTACCTGCATAATTTGCAATAACTACTTTTTTCGGTCAAAAAAAATTAGAATCGATTAAGAACATCAAGGTATGTAGCTCCACCCGTGGTACCACCAGACTACTCCCCACCGTCTCAAGTTAGCCATAGGGTGAGGCAGGTACCTCTTCCACTACTACCCGAGACACACTGTTCCATCCCGAGTAGAGATCATAGTTGCCGTAACCGTTACAGTTGCCCACGTTGATTGTGACGTCAATCCAGCCGGCGCTGATACCATTACAGTATCCTGTAGTGTTTGGGATTAAGCAAAGAATTGATTCACAAAACTGCGAGTGTGGAACAGGGGTATCGATTATATGATAAGAATCTCATCTACGGAACAGCTGTTGCACTGAATGTACTTAAAGGAAATCTTGTAAATGAAAACTTGTAGGTTCCTTCGGGAACGTCCCACCCGTGCGATAAAGTGAACATTATGCGTGGGCCATGTCATACATGACTAGTAGAGGAAATTCCTGCTGCAAATTGGGGGTGGGGATTTGTGGGGGGGGGTTGACTTGCTCAGCCATGGAAATTCAAAGGGGAGCAACATCATAATTATGACACTATATAGGGGGCGTGGTTCATGATACAGATGTACATCAGCAATATGTATTACATTCATGCACAGTCTTACATCAGAGTGGCATATTTATGGCTTTTTAAAAGTTGTTTTTCCTCTCCGAGTGATATTGAATACATTTAGTCGTTGGGAAATCCAAACAATTCTTCGCAATCCGCTTTACTCCTTTGCTCACCAAAAAGCCCACCCCACCCACCTCCAGCGAAAAGTTGGGGGGGATTTATACCCTATCCCCCGGATTTACGCCCATGCACTTAAAGACATAGATCACACTGTTTAATTTTATAGGCAATACACCTCAGTGGAATTTCAAAGAGTCGATACCGAGCACTCAGACACTTGCCTTGTACCGTCCGATGACGGTGGAGATCGGCTCCGGAAAAGTGCGCCATGTATACCGTCCCATCTATATTCTGTGGGTTGCTACATTCGGCACCATTGATGGTGAAGTACCAGCGACCACAACAGCCGTGGCAGTTGGTGATGCGAGTCACACCACCGTAGGCCATGAACAGCGAGGTACTGTCGAATTTCTTCTCGAACTGACAAGTCTGGTGAAAACAAATGAAAAACGTATGGAGAAACCTGTTAAAATCTGGTTTCACGCGCAATGTTCAGGTAAGTCATGACTAGCTCCCCCCCCCAGATGCAAGCGGGCGGTGAGGGGTTTATTTGCCTGCTCGAAAGTTTACCTGTTATTCCGTCTCAATTTTTTTATCGGAGTCCCGTTTGTTGAAAAAATCTCAAACCTTCTTTCAGTCTGCAACTCTGTTTCCCTCTGCGCCATTTAATACAAGGATGGCCGATACTATTTTTGCAAGAGTGGACCCAGAACTGTATTATTGAGGAGGGGGTGTTTTGGGTTAAGAATTTAGAAATTTCATTGTGTAACATTTCTTTATGTAATTTCTTTATGGTCTTCCTCAGTGGTGATTAATTACTTTTCAACCCCCCCTCAAACACTCCTTATTGGGAGGAGGCCTTGGCGCCGTTGCCATCCTCCCTCCGGTCCGCCCATGGTGTTGACTTCCCCCAGTAAAATGCTCGATTGCTTGCTCTCCCCAGCCAATTAATAATTACGCAGATTATAGATAAACATTATTTTATCAGACTGGACAATATGTGTCGACAAGTTTCTCGTTTGTCCACTCTGCAGCACATTACGTTGACACAGATTTCAGATAGTGCGCACCGAGTACGGTCCGCCACTTCACATCGTCCTTGCATTAATAAAAAGCGCCCTCCCCAACGCGCAAATTGACTTTCGTGAAAAACCAACTTTGCCTTGGTCAAAGCGAAAGCTACAAATCCCGAACCTCAAAAAAATGTACAAAACATCCGGACTGAATTCTTACGCTGAGGAACATTAGGAGCTCTTGGAATGCTGTCTCTGATACGTTGACACCAAGTTGTTAAATCTTAATGAGTAAAAGCTACTAGCAAAATAGGCAATCATTCCCAGCACAAGATGCCGATAAAAAAATCTAAAAGTTCAACACACTGCCGAGAGAAAATGCACTAATTCTCAGACCGAAGTGGAATGCACATAAGTATGATTGCAAAATACCTCGTCAGAATCGGATGAATGTTTCTGAGATCACATCAGGTATCAGTAAAGCCTATTTGCATGGCTATAACGATCGCGAAGAACACGCGAGATGTGAGGACGCAGACAGTCGCAAAAACCAGTGCTTGAAGTGATACCAACCCCCCCAAAAAATTGAAACAAAACGGGGTCCGAAACCTTCCAAACATTATTTTTTTTTCAGCTTATTGTGAAGAGCCTTTTCATAAGGTAGCAACGCCACTTATTGAAGCCCAACTATTTGATGTACTCATGGGCGTAACTCCTTGGGAGATGGGAGTATATATCCCCCACACTTTTTAGGGGGGGGGGATGGGCTACTGAATCATCACCCCCCCACACACACACACACTTTTTGTGATGAGCCCAAAAATTAAAGTGCATTGCGAAGAATTTCCAGAATTTCCTAACGACTGAAAGGGAAAGCAATTTCTAAAGCAATAAATATACCATTCTGTTGTAAGATTCTGCCTGATTTTGATATATACACATTACAGATATACATCTTTATCATGAACATCGCCCCTATATAGTGCAGTGATAAAGTTGAGTACCAAAATTCGAGTACCGAGTTTTCCGAGTACAAACAGTGCCGAGTACCGTCCGAGTCCGAGTACTTTTTAATCAAGTCCTGGGCCAAAAATCCAAGTTCAAGTTTATCAGAGTCCGAGTACGGGCAGAGTACGAGTCTTAAAAAATCGAGTACATCCGAGTTTATTGTGACGCCGTAATGGAACTTTGCATTAATTAATGTACACTAACGATACTACAAGCGCTGCCACGTGCCAACACCATTCACGAATACTCGATGTAGAAACGATAAAAACACTGCGTGACTTGAGACGTGTAGTTTACACCGTGTGAAATTTGTAGTCAAAGTTTAGTATTAAAAAAAAATTCCAATTCCTTTTCGAGTACTTACGATCGAGTACGGGCCAAGTACTTACTGGTACTCGAGTTGTACTCGAGTTCGAGTACAGGTACGCCAACACTGATTTGGGTGTATACGATGTCGCCCCCTCCCCCCTCCCAATTTCCAACACAGATTCACTTCGTTCACCGAGAGCTCTTTTGGTATGGGGTTTTACACTTTTAGGCATGCAGGGGAAAAATGGCCCAGAAATGTGGTACACATGCGAGAGGGACATCGTTTTGTTTTGTTTTTGTTTCGTTTGGTTTTTTGTTTGTTTTTGGCCGTCATGCTAGCTTGCGTGTTTGTCTAGGCCTATTCTGGCTGCTTGATGCAGACGGTCGACAAAGCTGAATATGATCCGTTCATGTTTCCGTCGTTGTGGCGTATCCTTGAACATTATTCAACGATACCGTCTGCGTCTCTTTATGTCGAAAAGGAAATCAGGCTTTTGAACAAAAAATGCAATTGTCAATACTTACATAAAGGACGCCATTATCTTTCCCGTCACCATATTCCCAGGTACACTGTCGCCAATTACGGACAGGTGCCACGTTCTGCCAGGCACTGTCGGTCGAATCACCGACAGAACCCTTTGGGCCCTGTGGCCCCGGCGCCCCCTTCGGACCAACACACTACAAGATCAAAAACCAAGAAAGCAATAATTAATTGCGTGCTCCAGGAATATTCGGCGCAAGGATGTTTGTTATTAACTGTCAAGTGACCACTGCCAGTGCAATGAATGACACAAAGGGTCACTGCGTCGCAACCTATAGATTCCGTTCTTTGCAGATCATTGGACTGCATGAGATATAGCCTAATGTTGCCCGTGCGTATAGACCCAGATGCTGTGATTTCAGGGGCATTATTTCAGGATCATAAGCTAAATAATTGGGCCCAGGTGGACCAAGTTTCGCGATTCCCTGTAAAACCTTTGTTGGATAATGGTGAAGAATACACGTGCTAAATTTACGCCACAGTTTTTGAGGTGCTTTTGAGTGATAACAGTCCTGCCGTGAGAGTGCACACTGCTCTCAGTAGAACGACTTTGTACGGTATTTAAAAGCATATGGATTTCCTCCATTTAATTATATTTGTAATATTCTTTAACTATTATTAGAAAGTCAGCTCTAAAATGGCAGCTGAATGAACGATACAGGGTTGGAAGTTCTTTAATAATAATCTTCAGTCAGAGGACAATCGCTTGTACGTATGTTGAGCTGTAAGCAACCTACTAGGTATATTCGACTTAGCTGCGTCGAAGTCTAATGCATTCATCAGGTAGGCCTAAAGCTGCTTTACTTCGAGTTCGCTAAAACTGAACAGATTTAAACATGGGCAAGGTTCGTTGCAAACGAATTGTGTCGTTCAGATTCGCTTTGCTTTCGCGTTAACCTGAAGAATGAACCGATCGTTTTAAACAGCGTCTTTCTCTTGACATGAAAGAGACCCAGTGCAGATTTGTAACAACATCATCATAAAAGTCCTCCCTGTGCATGTTGAGAATTTTGCCAAGCAAAATTGGCAATGAGACATTTGCTTATATTATCTTCCCAACCTCAAACAAGTTTACTACACGACTTGGTTTTAACATTTTACCTGACATTTTGCACGGAGAATCCAAGCGAGCACTAACAGCACCGCCACAACTAAGTTGATACGCGCAGCCATCTCTAGACCTTCAGTGGTGTTTGGTGTTGAAGACACAGTGGCTATTGCCCAGCGGCATCACAATCATGCACTGCCGTTTGCCGGCAACAATGGACCAAAGAACCTCAACTCTCTCGATCACCAGTGCCGTGTCCACTCACAACGCGGGACATAGGTGGTGAATTATTAATGCTCCGAGGAGGATCAGTTCATTGGAAATCGATGGGAACTATCAGGCCAACTGATCTTCACGGGCAACCTTGCACAGTTGTCACAAATCCTGGAATTGAATGTTCCAACTTTTGTTGCCGCTCTTTAAATTAAGGACGTTTTCGAAACCAATGTTGTACGCTAAAAAGAAACAAAAGCCAGTGTGGGTTGGTCGTTTTTCAAATGACATTTTTATCAGCACTTTAGCAATGATCGCCGAAATGTGATTGCCCTGAAGAAAAATGCCTTTCCAAACACTTCCGGAACATATCAAACGTCAGGTTTGTCTCCGTTCGGCTTGGTGCGTCTTCACTTAGGCTCCCCGCTTTAGAGAATCCAGCTCAATTTAAGGGACATCAAATGATAATAACTATGATAATGAAGGCCTAAACTGAGACTCGTTTGGTCCGTATATCAAAGGCCCACAGAAATTGCGCATGATGCGTTCGCGCAAAATACACGGGTGATGGGCCCAATTTTGTGGCTCTGCTCAATACCGCTGACCACATTTGAAGAGTAGCAGCAATACGGTTTTCTTTTACCCTTTTTTCTGCAATTGTATGCTCTCTTATCATGAGAACTATTTGACATTCCTGTTGGGTTGGATACATTGCAAAATGCACTAGTTTATATATTGGCATTCAAAATTGTTCATGCTTTCCTGCATGGAAAACTGATGGCGCTGTTGCTGTCATGCCATCCAGGGAAGACATGGATCAGTTCAAAGGTTTTCCATTGAAAGTATGAACCCAGAATTTACTCACGGGAAACATTTCTGGGAGAGGGTTATTTGCTTGCTTACTTGCTTAGTGCTATGTACTCATACAACAATGAATCAGCAAAGGAAAGACAAGTTAAGCAAAATTCTTGCAGGTTTCTGTGTAAAAACCAGTAATACATTGAGATTTTTCCCGCTTCCCGGGATGGCATCACAGTTTTGCTCATGAACATGGAAATCTTATTAGCATGAAAACCAAAACGGCTTAATATCCTTCATAACAGTGAAACCAAAATTGAAAAGGAGTTAACTGGAGACACAAAGGTGTATTTTGAAGATAACTATTAAGTTGTAGTGACCTTTTATCCGCAAGAAAGCAACCCGAAAGCAGTGACTTGTACACTGCAATATTCTCCCTGGCAAGGTACTTTTGCTGAGGAAATATGATCTATGCATAGCATATTTCTGTGCTCATCGCGCAGTACATGAAATGAGGCATGGGTTTTCCCAAAGACAAGAGCCCCCACGAGCAAACCGCGCGACTGAGTTTGGCCGTGCGCCGCCTGTTGGAACACTGAACTGGCTCGTTGGGCCCTGCAGATCATGATTACCCCAAGGACTTGAACTTCCTTCTGATTGTTTTCAGAAGAAGGCTTCCAGAGATGGCCGCGAACTGCAGCCCAAGTAAATATAAGGAAGTATGGAGTGGAACTTCTAAAACGCATTAGAACCATAAGGCCATCCATCTCAGCTCAACTCAACCGTCGGTTTTATGAAGAACAACAAATCTAACTTGTCAGATAAATTTTCTGGGTGTTTTTATTCAGAGACACAAACTCGAATTTTGTTCTCGCACTTCGGCTTCCGGCACACAACGCGTACTGCATGGAATAGAAGATGAGCAACGAGACAAGGTTTTACTTTCACGTGGCGAGGTGTTTCCCAGGAGACAGGAGAAAAAGAAACATTTACTCCAGACTTCAAATCGATTGCTCACTCCATCTTTCTCGGCTATAACACTTATCTCGTCCGAAATGGATCCACTTCGATGCATCGTCCCCCACGATTTTCTGCTCATGCGTGGGGTATTTGAGAAAGTATCTGGAATCCTTGTCTGCAATGATGGCTGGATCAAATCACACTTTCATATGAAATGATTAGTTGGGGGGGGGTAGGAAGATGGAACAAAGGGCAAGGGAATGAAGTGTATACCCAGCAAGAAA